CCCAGCGAACGCCCCATGGGCCCTCGGAGCCCAGCAGACGCCCCACGGGCCCTCGGAGCCCAGCAGACGCCCCGCGGGCCCTCGGAGCCCAGCAGACGCCCCGCGGGCCCTCGGAGCCCAGCAGACGCCCTGCGGGCCCTCGGAGCTCAGCAGACGCCCCGTGGGTCCTCGGAGCCCAGCAGACACTCCATGGACCTTCAGAGCCCAGCAGATGCCCCGCAGGCCCTCGGAGCCCAGCAGACGCTCCATGGACCCTCAGAGCCCAGCAGACGCCCCGCGGGCCCTCGGAGCCCAGCAGACACTCCATGGACCCTCAGAGCCCAGCAGATGCCCCACAGGCCCTCGGAGCCCAGCAGATGCCCAGCAGACGCCCTGCGGGCCCTTCTCCTGCCTCATGTTCAAGCTGAGGTGGTGGGTGGAGTGGGAAGGCCAGAGCAGGCCGGGCCCCACGGGGACACCGCCCCAGCTTTGCTCCTGAACTCCAGGAAGCTCTATGAGGACAGCCCTCTCTGTTCAGAGTGGACTGGTGGGAGAACGGTCTTCGTTTTAAGGTTGTTCCCTCGCAAACCTGGCCCAGTCCTTTGATACCAGCTCCTCTTTGTCTGAGCTAAAAGCTACAGTAAAGCGATACCTGATTTTGCACAAAATTACGAATTCCACTGTGTAGCACCTCCTGTGTGGACCCCACTCACCCGCTCCCTCCCTCACTCTGAGGGCTGCCCCGGGCCCGGGGGTGGGGCGGCGCTGTCTGGGGCCTGCCCTGCTCTTCTGTCTCTCTGAGTCTCCCTGGAGTCAGCTGCACTTGTCCCCTCGATGGGGCCACACCAGCCGAGCTTGCTCTTTAATTCCATGTCGGTCCGCGTCACAGGTGGGGGGTAGGGCAGGTAAGCATTTTGGCTTTGGTTTTGGAAAGTCGGGAAGGCGGCTCGGCGTGGACACTGGGCTTGCTCTGGCACGGGTCTCTCCACGAGGTTACGATGGGAACGCGAGGTGAGACGTGTACCCTCCGGTGCCAGCTAGGTGGCGTCAGGTTCTTAGTTCCCTTTGCGGAGACAAGAAGAGGGCTGCGAAGGATCGCTGTGATGTGGGGACAGGGAGGTGACGAGCCTCTGCCCCGCTGCCCCGCTCTGGGAGAGAGGGCCCGGCTGTCTCCGAAGGCTGGAGTGGACACATGTGTCTGTTTCCGATCCAGATGCCCTGCAGGGTCCGAGCCCGGCCCCGCCCGCGTGCCTTTCTGCTAACCGACAGTGGCTGCTCCTGGCGCCGAGTGAGCAGGCTGTTGGCTGGCTGTCTGACCGTCTGTCAGGGTGTCCCCGCTGCTCTGGGCAGAGCCATGATAACCATGTGTCCAGGCTGAGTGAGGACAGGGGCTCAGGCTACCAGGCCCGTCTGGTTTTCAGGACCCGTAGGGCTCCGGGGAAAACCTGGAGCCATCTCAACGTCCTGAGCCGACAGAGGCCTCGTCTGTCCCCACAGCCCCGGGCTCCTGGTGTGAGCCCGACCCAGCCGTGGGCTTCGGGCCACAGTCAATGGCCCCACGGTCCACGCTGCCCTGACAGCCGCCTGGCACCGGCAGGCCTGGCGGAAGGGGGGGAACGGGGAAACTCGCTCCGG